CACAGCCTGGTGTTGGTACAGGCGGTGGATCTAATACAGGTACTCTATCTAAGTTCCATCGCAGCTTCTCGATGGGTCAAGGCTGGGCTGTAGCCCAGCAGCAAGGAACATTCCAATTGAAAAATCTCGCCGCCAACGCTGATGAGGCGCAGCAAACTAAGGTTGTCTTTAGACGACGCAACAACTCTACAAGCGAAAGTGATGGCGCTCTACTTATCTGCTATCCATCGGAGAACTTGCGCCGCCTGGTGCCAGAAAGCATATTGAATAGCTCTATTGTCCATCCAGCCGTGCAGCGACTGGTCAATGCAGATGTTGGCGGTGTAGGTGCAACAAAGTCTCAGCAGCATTCATTCGAACAACCGGAGAGGGAGAGTAATGAAAACGACGAAAAGCCAACGAACACAGAATGTGGTGGCGTCAAGACCAAAGAATATAACTATTCGGCTGGTAATGCCGCGTTAAAGCCCAGCGGTGTGCGCGATAAGGACTCATCATCCACTTTGCTAGATTTGGAGTTGTCACAACAGGTGAATGTATTACTCCAACGTCCGGCCATGGCATTTATTACACAAAAACATGATTTGGAGAAACTACGCTATGCCATGAAACGCAGTCTACGCATTGCCGCCTGTCGTATTTATTCGCTACAAGCACTCAATTGGCTGCTGCGTTCGGTGACACAGAGCATCTGTCTGCACGATCTGATGTGGTGGTTTGTTAGTTCGCTGACTATTTCGGCAATTGAGATGATCGATGGCAAGTACGAAGATGCTGAACCAGCACTGGAGCACCCGGTCACCTACACGCAGATCAGTGGTCGTTTCTCGCATTTAATTACGCAAAGTTTGCACGTTTTCCTACAATCCGTTGCCGATCTCACACTCTATTTGCCACTTGGCTCACCATTGCAACGCATCGCCATACAATGCTTCGGCATACGCTTTCGCCAAACAGATCATCAATTTCTACATAATTCGCATGTATTCGGTAATATTTCGAAGATACTTTCGAAATCCGATGAGCAAGACGATGTTATGGCTGTATCGAGCATGGGCATGGCTGGTGCGGTCGCAGTGGAGGGTGGTGGCAACTCAACGGGTATTCATGATGTGGAACATAATTTGCAAAGTGTTGGAGGCGTTGGTGGTGGTGGTGGTGGTGCGGTTGTGGGTGTTGCAGGTGGCCCGCCAGCAGGTGCTAAAATTATATGCTACTCCGATTTGAATGGCATGTTTGAGGTGACAGTGTCATCGCGTCAGGCCATGGCCGAATCGTTGACCGACAATTCGACCGAAACTTTTTGGGAAAGTGATGAGGAGGATCGCAACAAATGCAAGATTATTGAAATATCGATGAATAAGTTGTCATATTCGTGCAAAGTGGTTTTGGTGCACATCGACAATAGCCGGGATATACAGGTTAGTGATGAACTTAGTTTTTAAGAATATGAGCTGTTTTCATGGTGACGAGTTTACGCTCGCTTGTCACAGTGAAAGCAGCCCTAAGTAGACTAGCAATTAGTCTGTTCCAATAGCAGTCCGGTTTACAGGATTTAGTCAGAACTTACAGGAAGTCGTTCCTATTGACATAAAACCTGTAAGTGGGAACACTTTTGAGAGAGTAACTGAGCGACTGTTCCTAGTCAGAAGTTACAGGATTTAGTCCGGAGTTTTTTTTTCCTGTAAGTTCATGAAAAGTGTCAAACGATCAGCTGATTTACATGTGCAAACAAAAACAGAAAGCGGTGAAAGCAAATAACCTTATATTTGTAAAAAAACTGGAAGTAAACAACGAAATATTTGAATATGTATAGATTTTAATAAATAGTTAGTGATATTTCAGCCAAATCAGTGTTGTACCAATGACATGTAAACAAACCGGCTAACGTTTTTACAGGAAATAGTGCTTTTTGCGTTCCCGTGTACTTCTGCATCTGTTCTCCTTTTACTCTCACTTGAGAGAGTAAAATTGTAGTTTGACAGTTCCACAGGTTTTAGTCCGAAGTTCAAAGGAACAGACTAAATAAGCACAATGTCTTGAACAACAACTATGGTGAGCGATTCAGGTGCCAGCGCTTGGAAGTTAGTTCTATTTTTTTTTGCCTAGTTCAGTAATACAACTCCTAGTCCCCGTGTAAGGAAGGCATGTGCTGGGTATATTGGCGCCGAGTCTGGGTGGGTGAGAGTAAAGTCAGTTGCAGTAAACAGACTTAGTTGCGCCAGAGTTACATGGGTCTCACGAGGCTGGTGAAGGCTTCTTCTTCCGTTGAACTCCGATGACGTCATTTACGGGGCGACAGTTTGTAATGTTGGTGATTGTATCTCGGTCAATGCTGTTGATAGCTTGTCGGAATCCAGTAGTTGGGTGAATTAGGTCTGGAGAGAGTTTCGATATACATACATACATATGCATAGAAATCCAATAGCAGTGGAGAGAGGACTCTAAACTGCGGGACTCCCTTTTAATTCTTCTCTGTTTCGGGATTGATCTTGCAATATACCGATGAGTTTCGCCCACTCAGAAAGAGATAATTCAAAGAAAGCTACTAAGACCTACTTCTCATAAGGCATTACACCATTCTTGCCAACGGCTTCGATTACCAGCAGAGCTGTCACTGCACTGAACGCAAATGGTACGCTGGTGTTGGCGGTTCGCGCTGCCGTCTGGTGACATGTCGTTGGGCTTTGTCCGCCGAAGATTGCAATTTAAATTATCGGATAAAATAGCTTTCGCAATTCTTTGGGTCCGACATGGTACAATCTACGAGTCATTGTCCTTCGTCGTGTTGGATAAAGGCCTGATAGTAGGCAAAAACTTGGTTACGCCACCGTCGAAGTTGTAGGTCTTTAAGGGCTCTCTTCTCATTTCATCCGCACACACATATGTTTCTGTATTAGTTTTGTAGTGGTTGATCACTAATGGTGGTATTCATAGAGCGACGCTGGATGAAGGTGTTAATTGCCTATCCATACAGTGTGAAAAATATTTATCTTGTGCTTAAAAGGAGGCTCAATTTCTAATTCCTTCGGCTTCTTCCTGTGGCCATTGGTTCGGTCAGCATACTCCTTACTCAGAAGAGACGCTACAACTTTAGGAAACCTCGTCCAAAATTGTTTATAAATCGTTTTTTGCTCAGAAAATATTTCTTTCTGAAATTAAAAATTTCTCATTTAGAGCATTTAAGTAGGTAAAAGTAGATAGCGTGGCTATTAGTTGTTGTATGTCCGCCTAGAATAATGATCTTCTTTCAGAGAAAACCTTTTTTTACAATGCATTGTGCACTTTTCCTTCTAGAACAAGGTGTTGAATGTTGTGTTTTATGCTGGCCAATCGCTCGGTGATACAAATCTAATCAAATCTGTGGACGTTGATCCGAAAGCGTGCGCTTGGATATCCGCCAAAATCACAAACGAGACGTACACACACTTTCGCTTGGAGTTTCATGGACCAGAGAATACATTGCGTGTTCGTCAAATCAAATTACTTGGGCTACCGAGCGTCATGAGCGGGTTGGATGATCAATTGAACGAGCAATATGGTGGACTACAAGCAGCGGTCGGTGCGAGTGGGAATAGCGGCGCAACAACAGGTCAATTTCACACACTCAAATCTAATTTGAAGCTAACAAATGCAGTGCGCATACAACAACAAATCTGTGAGGCTGAGACATTGCGCGTCTTCCGGCTAATAACGGGTGAGTTCTCCTCATTCGAGGGGAGGAATATGAAAATGTTTGCTTATTTATTTAACGCTTTCAACTGCAGGTCAAGTCTTTGGTAAATTGATCAGCACCGCAACCACCGAGGCAGGCCACCACTCTATACTCGGCATGGATTCTAGCGGCAATTCAATGCTTGCCGACTCGCTGGACCTACGCGAACACATGGTGGGTATACTATTCTCGCGTAGTAAGCTGTCGCATCTGCAGAAACAGGTTATCGTGCATATTGTGCACGCCATCAAGAAGGAAGCGCATCGCGCCAAAGAAGATTGGGAAATTGTGAATTTGGCGAATTGTTTCAAGGATGCGCACGCCACTACCACATCTGCCACCTCGACTGGTGAACCGAAGAGTGAGTCTAGTTCGGAGCGCTATCGTGCGCCCGACACTTACTGTTTCGAGATGCTAAGCATGGTGCTGGCGCTCTCCGGCAGCGTTGTGGGCCGTTCCTATCTGTCACATCAGTATGGGCTACTCAAGGATTTATTGACGCTGCTACATACAGGCAGTGATCGCGTACAGCGTCAGGTAACGGCACTACTGCGACGCATACTGCCCGAAATTTCACCGGAAAGCTTTGCCGAGTTGATGGGCGTACAGCGTTTGCCGCCGGCAGATTATAATATTGCACACCAGAATGCTGCTGATTTCGATATGAATCGCTTGGGTTTGCTGGATATATTTTTGGCAGTCATCGCCAAGGCGCTGCAGTTGCAAGTTAAGGTGAAGTGTACTTCAAGCAAACCGAGTCTCGAGAAAACACCTTCATTTGTACGTCTCTGCAATGCGCTTGATTTGTCGGTACATCTTCTGAAGCAAACGCAGAAGACAAAGGCGAATGCTGAGGGCGAGCTGGCCGGCGGAGATGGGGATGCCGGCGAATTTGCAGGCAAAACACATCCATTTCGTTTCGATCAACAAGTGGAAGCGAGCGAATACGAGCTGGGGCGTTCAACATTGAAGGCGAATAAGAAAGAAACGAAGAAAAATCTAAATCAGCGTTGGTTCTTGAATGGTGTCATCTCAACCAAGCAGGCGGAAAGCATCATCAGTCTGGTGCGCGATTTGGCTAGTGTGAGTGTTGAAAATTTAATTAAAAATAAATTTTATATAAACTTTATTTGCATTCAACAGGGCAAATTAAGCGATAAATGGTCTCAGATCACCAAGGCCGCCATAGCTGAGTCGGTATTAAATTTGACTCGTTTGGATGAGATTTTCCGCAATCCTGAACATTGTGTCAAGACAGCCACACTGTGGCTAGCGCTGGCCAGTCTTTGTGTTCTCGATCGCGATCATGTAGAGAAACTATCATCCGGTCAGTGGTCCAAGGTTTCCGATACGCGTCCAATGTGCACCAATCACGACGATGGTGAAACTGCTGCCATAATTCAATGTGAAACTTGTGGTTCACTGTGTGGCGATTGCGATCGATTTTTGCATTTGAATCGAAAAACAAGAATGCATAAGCGAACGGTGAGTAAATAGTGGATCGAAGGGTACGTACCTTAACTGGTATGGTAGATTTTTGTTTACTCAGCAAACGAGACTAGTTATTCGTACAGATTTTCGGTCGCTGAATCCGAAAATGAAGTGAGAACTTAAAAAGGGTGGTGCTTTCTTAACTTCAATTTTTTGGAGATTAGATAAAAAATAAAATTTATTTGTGATTTGATTTGTTGAGCAAATCAATATGATTCATCAATTTTTAGTAGGAAAATCACAAATCAAATTGAGTCGCTCGCTGAATCAAATTACAAATAAAATCTAGTTTTTATGAAAATTAAAAAAAAAAATCCCAGGAATCAAATCACAAATAAATTAGTTTTTAATCGTTTTTGTTGATCCTACCAAGGAAAATTCACTATCCTTTCGAGTTTAGACGGAAAATAACCTGCCAAATTCAGAATTTCTACTTCAGATACGAATGCAGCAACCCAATATTCTTTAGGATTGACTAGTTTCGTTTATTGGCCAAACAAAAGAGTTTCTTTGTGAGGATTTGTTATATTTTCCATCAATTACGGAACCCCACAAAACAAAAATTGTTCGGAGCGCGAACCAAAACTATATAAATAGGAAGTCAGATTTAAAATTTTTTTACTTCACCTAAAAAAATCTATTTTTTTTGGTAAGTTTTTTGAGGTAAGAAAGCAAAAATTAGCCAGCTTAAGTATCCTTATTTTCGATTCGGATTTAGCGACCTATGTAATGTCTATTGACTAGTCTCGTCGGACAAAACCGTTTTTTTTTTTGTGGTGCTGCTATTTACATTTTAATAAACTAATATTCCCCTCTTTAGGTTTGCAAGGAGGAAGAAGAAGCTATACGCGTAGAGCTGCATGAATCCTGTGGCCGCACCAAACTTTTCTGGCTGCTCGCTTTGGCCGATTCGAAAACACTAAAAGCAATGGTCGAATTCCGCGATGGCAGTCACACCATAATATCCGGACCCCAGGAGGCAGTTGGTCGTTGTCGTTTCTGTGGCATTACCGGCAATTCAGGTCTGCTGGAAATTGGCAACGTTTGCGCTGATGCACAGTGTCAAGAGCATGCGGCCAATTCCTGCATGAAAGTAAAATCGTGCGACCATCCATGCGGCGGCGTGGCCAATGAGAAGAAATGTTTGCCCTGCCTGCAGCATGTGTGCCATGCACGTGAAAATAAAATCGCCGAGGAGCTGCATGAACCCAAGTTGACGCAGGATGCGGACGATATGTGCATGATATGTTTTGTGGAGGCACTCTCATGCGCGCCATCCATACAGGTGGGTTTGGAAAGGAGATTTAGTGTGTGCTCTTTATTAAATTTCATTTAATTTTGAGTTTAGTTGGAGTGTGGCCACGTATTCCACCATCATTGCTGCAAAGCTGTCATAGAGCGGCGCTGGGCAGGACCACGCATTACGTTCGGCTTCTCTTTGTGCCCCATTTGCAAGGCGGATATACAACACAGCTTGCTCGGTGATATTTTGGAGCCCATTAATTTGCTCAAGCAGGATGTTAAGCGCAAGGCTTTAATGCGGTGAGTGTGAAAGGATTTCAAAATCACAATAAATACCAAAAATTATCTAATTTTCTTTTTGTGTTTTTTTTTAGACTCAAATATGAGGGCATCGTCAAAGATACCGACTCGAAGGATGTCACCAACTTGGCCATGGACCGCTATGCCTACTATGTGTGCTTCAAGTGTCAGAAGGCCTACTATGGCGGTGAGGCGCGTTGCGATGCTGAAATTGGCGAAAAATTCGATCCCCAAGAACTCGTTTGCGGCGGTTGTTCGGATGTGGCGCGTGCACAAATGTGTCCCAAACACGGCACAGATTTTCTAGAATATAAATGTCGCTATTGCTGCTCGGTCGCGGTATTTTTCTGCTTTGGCACTACACACTTTTGCGACACTTGCCACGACGATTTTCAGCGCCTCACAAATATACCGAAAAACAAGCTGCCCCAATGTCCGGCTGGCCCGAAGGCTAAACAACTGATGGGCGATGAGTGTCCATTGCATGTCATACATCCACCAACGGGTGAGGAATTCGCGCTGGGGTGTGGTGTGTGTCGCAATGCGCAAACATTTTAGCATGATGCTGTTGCCTTGGCTGTGGAACAGCGGCGGTTGAGTGTGGATGCGGCTGCGGCGGCGGCTGCTGCTGATGTTTTAATGCCGCTCGAGGAGTGGATTGAAGTTGAAATGCTGGATTTGGATAACGAGCGCAGTTTTGAGGTAGTGCTGCATGCTGATGAGCGTAACGACCGCGAGAGGAATCGTAATGAGTAGAATTTGAGGAAGAGTGCAGAATTTTGTGTTTATTTTATAAGCATACATATTCACATGCGTATATTGTAGTAGTATTCTTAATTTGATCTCGAAACTCGATTTTTAAAGTAAATCTGAATGTTAGCTTTAAGTTAAAAGTTAAACAAGCATACATAATAACTTATATTTATTTAAAAATCACGTTGCGCATAGGAGTTCTCTATATGTAAAATGTGCAACTTTGCAATATTAATCGTGCTAAAATACCACTAAGCTAAACACACTTACATAAATTATATTACATTCATATATATACATACATAAAAATACTCGCATTTCGAATGAGTAATAAACAATTTATCAAAATTTAAATAAAATTTAAAATAAAAATAAAAAGCGTTTAAAAATTTGCACACAAAAAAATACGAAAAGCATTTTTGATAGTGGGCGAAAATCACAAATATATTTTACTAACGAAAATCTCCGTACATTGTGAAAATTTTCAAATTTACCACGGCGTTCGAAAACGATCTGCATTAAATTATGAGCTCGTTGCATTCAAATATTCTACACCTTCAGCGCTTTAATTTGATACCTTTCTCGTTAAACTCGGCGCTAATTTGCGGAAGATACACCTATTTTGTGAAATTCAACTTTCGGTGACTCCTGGCCACCTTAGTTGGTCGCATCAATTTATTTCAATCGTCACTTTGCTCGACTTTCACCAGGCACGCAGAACGTGCCAACAAGTAGCACCGGACACATTTATGCACTCACACAAAAACGCGGCAAACATGCATTGCACGCAAATTTTATGCTGCCTGCTTTAAGGCGCCGGAAGTCAAAGGCAACTATGCCGCCCTGTACTTGCATTGCTGGGTACGAAATTTGCAGCGTACAATTGATTCAAAAAATTTACACAATTCTTGCAGACTTCTTGGCTTTACATTCAGAAGCTAATAGCGTGATAGTTTTAATGGTTTTTTACATGATCTTCTCCTGTATATAGATCCACAGGGTGACCGGTGTGTTGCGTGTATTTAAGATAGGCACAGGGTGCCTTGGCATCCGGCGCCTAAAAGCAGTGTACATATCGGCTCATGGGCGAGTTAACAAACATGTGCTGACCCTTGCTGCGCTACTTTGCGCGCCCGGTAAAAAGCGCACAAACAGATTTTTGTATCGATGCCGCTTCACCACTAAGGTGGCCAGGTGTAGCTGAAATTTTAGTGTTTCCTAAAATAAGCGTATTTACCACAAATAAACGTCGATTTCAACGAACAAGGTATCAAATTAAAGCGCTGAGGATGCCTGTCGACTTTGCGAAACGCACTTTTTAACTATATATTTCATCTCTAAATAAATACAACGCAATTTTCTTGGCTTCGATGTACTGCCAACAACCACTTCAAATAAGTTTTCATTTATTTTTAAAGTTTTTAAATGTATATTCATAGGTTGTTGTATGGTTGCTTAGCGCATAATTTACAATAAACTTTATTGAATACAAATAAAAGGTGCAAAGTAATGCTCGATACCATTTGAAATCTACAAAATACCATTGTATATTTATTCCTCTGTTGTTTCAACGATGCTTAGTTGTCATTACTAAATAACAATATAATTTATTTAGTTGTTTTAAACTAAGTGTTATATTCTGTCCTTCCGCGTTTTCGAATTTCTATCAATTATTTATTTTCACTAACCATCTTCCAAAGAAAATTATTTGTATCCAAAGCTTTCTCTCACCCCAAAACGCTCCTTCGTGCTGCTCTTGCCAGTTCCATTCGTGCTCGGTGGTGAAGTTGTTTAAGTTATATTTATATTTATAATAAAAAGGGCTTCTTTATAAATTTATTTTTTATCTTTTGACTTAGTAAACATTTAGTTATAATTTTAAATATACATATGTGTTGTTTCTTTTTGATGTTTTTCTATTTTTAATATACGGCACGGCCAGAATAGAGACTATCCGCGACGACGATGCAATGCATTGATGCCCATTTATGCTGGTGTTTCGGGGGCGTGATCCTAAAAGAGTCAATTAGAGTGGAGTTTTGTATGTAAAAAGGCTTCTGCGTAGAAGTGGGATTTACGTGCAGGTGGATATATGCATGTGTGACATATGCACGCACAAAGTAGCTATGACATCTCCGTAGGGCTCAGGTTGACAGGTTGGGAATGGCATTCAGATATGTACATACATACATACACCCAAACTTATAAAGCCATGTATATGTAGTATGCGTGGGAAAACTTAACGCAACACGTGCAGGTGGTACACATTCCTTGGGGACTCAATTCAAACCAAATATATTTTTTGTTCTTCTATAAAAAAAATTCAGCGAGATACCGGGAACCAGTGGAGTCAGCCAAAAATCACTTAACAATATTATTTACATTTTTTTGTATGACAGTGGGACGAAGGTGATTAAGTTACAAGAAAAAATAATTGCAATACATATGTATTATAAAAAATAAAATTAAAACCGAATTTTGCATATATACAGTGGTCGAAAAAATTACAGCCGGGCCACATTTTGACAAGTTTTAACGTATTTTTTGTTATTTAATTTTGGTTATTTTTTTTTGTAAAAATATAGTTCATTCTTTGAGAAAACCCGTGTAAATCAAAATTTCAAGCTTTGTGCAATAAAAAAAAAATATCAACAAAAATCTAAAAAATCAACGATAATTTTCAGCAATTCTAAATTTGCAATTTATTTCTCCGAAAGTTTATTGATTTGTTTTTTTTTTTTATATTGCACAAAGTTTGAAGCTTGGATTTACACGGGTTTTGTTAAAGAATGAACTATATTTTATAAAAAAAAATAATCAAAATTAAATAACAAATAAAAAATAATATGTTAAAACTTGTCAAAATGTGGTGCGGCTATAAATTGTTCGACCACTGCATGTATTAAAAATAAAAGTGTTCAAAAAGAATGTTTGAAAAAATAAACAAACAAAAGGATGACAAAAAATTTGTTGATGTTTTAAATTTTTTTTGTTTTTCTTTTTAATAAAATGTTTGTTTTGTTTATATTACAATTAAAAAAAATTTATTCATAAATTGAGTTTTATGTTTGCTTGTTTTGCTGTTGTTGTTGGTGTTGTTAAAACTCAATACTATCCGTGCAATTTTATTTTAAAGTTGTTTGTTTTTCTAATTGCTTTGTGCTAATCAAACTTTTTTTTTATACGAGTATATTCTTGTTTGCAATGTTGATGTTGTAAATTTAGAGACGGCGATTTATATGTTTTGTTTTTGGTTTGTAACAATTATGATTACTTTTTAAAAAATATATATTTGTAAATAATGAAATATATTCGTAATTCTGATGTTGTTTGAATTAAAAAAACTTTAAATAAAATTTATAATTAGGGCGGGAGTCAGACATAGGTCGGGAACGAACTTAGGCATCAACTTCAACTTCCTCCTTTACCTTAGCATCGCCGGGTTTGCCCTTGGACCAGTCGGGTTTTTTCTGCGGATAGAAGAAAAAAGGTTTTTTGTTTATAATTAATTGAAAGTTGACACAAAGTAACACGCAGATAAAAATGTAGGTATGTATGTATATGCAGTACATACAGAAACTAGAAAAAAACTTGAATACATACATACACAAATAACTAACAAATAGAGTGCTACTACATTCTACATAGTACATAATTGTCTTTGGGGAAGTGCAAAAGAGGCTACATCTGTACCTACATAGGCTAACACAGCAGTGTCGAGTATAACTTCGCATACTTACAGCCAGATTCTGAAAAATTATTGTGGACTTTCACACTTGCCTGGTTTTCAGGTCATCTGGTTAAAAATTTGTATTCTCCAGTATATTTTATTGTTGTAACCCCACGTCTCCACCTTCTACAGATTCTGTTAAAAAGGCTGTGGAAGGTGAAGAGCGCAAATTTCCACTATTAAACCATATCTGTCTTGCCGAATTTTAACCATCGCTGTATTAACATCAGCTGTTATTTCGTAGTTTGACAACTCAATTTTTATTTTGCCGCCATTTTGAAAGTGATATGTTAAGAAAGCAAGTTGCCCACATGAAAAAACAGAAATCTGACAGATGTTAAGACAAATTTAGTAGAAACCGGAGACGTGGGGTACAGTTATTAAAAAATATAACCACATAACCAAATAACCTGATAACCAGGCAGGTGTGAACACCCACGTTGAGACTTACATTTCAAGGTAAAAAATTTAGATTGTATAAGGAAAATTTTCAATAAATTAACTACATATTTCCAATAATCAAACATTGCGTCGAAGTCACTAGAATCGGGCTGCCGGTTTAAAACAAATATATTGCGGGTTTTAACATTCTTGTTCGTGTTTGCGTGGACGTTCTACTTTTTTAAGGTGTGTATTAAACACTTAATGGTAACTAAGCCTACTTTTGGGCGAATTTGCGTCTACACAGATTTGGTATTGCATGCATGTATACGTGGAAATCTTATAAATATTGACGAATGCATACAAATATGATATAATGATTATCAGGCGTGCTCCCATTTTCGGAATGTTAAAAATATTTTTTTTTTGTTTTTCTAATGTAGCATTGGTAAATAGCAAAACTTTGCAATCAGCTGCTGTAGAAACTGTGTAACGAAAATGCATTTTTTTTTAATTGTAAAATGCAAAAGTTAGTAAAAAATAGGAGCCCGGCTGAGTATTCAATTTCATTCATGTTTAAGTGCTCAAATGTGTCAATGAAAGTGCATTTTTTTGCAACATAAAATTTCACATTACATTTGCTCCCTATAATTTTCCAATAACACACAAATAATTAGCAGTCAACATGCTACGAGTGTGTGTGTATGCTGTTTTGTTTTTCTTTGGGGCAATTTACACAAATTTCTTACACTTTTTGACTGTTGATTTTAATTGAGCATCTTTTATCTTTTTCTATATATGTATGTAGCATCGTCGTAGAGATGTGATTAGGCGTTAGAAAAGAAAGCATTAGTTTTTTTATAATACTAATTTATAGTGTTTTATATACAGTTTATTGCATAGATAAATGATAAAGATTTTTTGACAGTTATTTGCATAGATAAATGATAAAGATTTTTTGACTTAAAACTAGCTTTTAATATACTGCTACAACAACAACTACGTAAAAAAGAAATTTACTAAAAATTAATTCATAGAATTTCACACGTTAAGGAGAACAAATTTTCTTCAAAAAGCGTTTGTGATACTAAAAACCTCATTTGGTGAAATTAAGTCAGAGGTGGTTGTTGGTTTGCGTAGTTCACATTCATAAAAACATCTGATCAATAGAGGCTTTGGATTAAAGCCTTCATGGGCATAGTTTTGTACACAAACAAAAATCATTATACTCGCGAAAATAGTGGCCAAATATAGTAAAACTGCGTTTTAAGTTTTTCTCTCTGAAATTTTAAAACTTTATCTTTGAATATCCTTCAATAGTTATTTCAAAAAAATATATCGTCAATGTTTTTGTAAAACTGTCTAAATCGCAGTTGTGGCAAAAATTAGATTTGGTAACCCTGAACTCCAGGCATCGAGATTTATGCATAAAAATTGCAAAATCGTTATTAAAACAAAAGAGTAGCGAAAGAAAATATCGCCTATCAAGGCAATGCCTTCAAAGAAAAACCGTTTTTACGCTCTCCAGTCAAATTTGAGTGCCGTAAGATAGGCGGTTTTGCAAAAACATCAACGATATGTTAAAGACTAATGTGAACACTGCCACATCCACGAATTTCGTCTTTCCAAATTTATTAGTTTAGCATAAAGTATTGATTAAAATGGCATTTTCAATATTTATTAATCTTTGTGAACCAAACAATTTTTTTTTAAATCTATAGAATTTTTCCTATCATTTCGTACCCTAATTGTTATTCTACATTGCACTGAATTTTTAAATAATTTTCTGAGTAAATCATAATATTGAAATTTCATAAACCTTTAAAAAAATCCTTATGTCAGAGGGAAAAACTTTTTAGAGATTAAACAACATTTTATTAATTTAAGTATTGAGTGTTACTTTATATACACTGGTGGCAGAAATAATAGACTCTCCTTATTTTTGCTATAATTCTTCGGTTTATATAATGCACAATATTTTGTTTATAAAAGTGTAGCTAGGTATAGCACCAACACCATTTTAAACTTTGTACAAAAATAATAAAAATTCAACAAAATTTCATCGAAATCTCAAACTTTTTCTTCAGAATTTTTAGAAAATTTGGTATGCCCATTTAAGTTTAGTATAATAAAGTGCAAGTTTCAAGTGACTACAAAATACCGTTGATTTTCGATAATTTTTCCATACAAAGTATGTTCAAAAATTTTTTTTTTAGTCTTCCATAGACTGAATGCTAGTCCCTATATTAGCTGAGGCAAAAAGTAGTAATAGCAATATTTTTGTCTAAGAATAAAGAATATAACAAGTAATTTTTGAGCAACATAGCCGACTTTAATTCTCATATAAAAATTTAAGAGTACCGTTAATTTCTTCATCATTCAGTGATCAGATCTAAACCAAATTAGTATGGGACCACGCTTTCCGATAAAAAAAGAATTATCGAAACCTGCCGAGGCTCAAAGTTATGTGGTAACATATGTACATAAAAAAATATTCTGATGAATTGATAACCTCTCCGTTTTGTGAAGTCGATTAAAAATGATTCCACGCTTTCTTTATAGTTGAAACTAAGATAAAAACCTAATTTCATTAAAATCTGATGCAATTTTCCAATCAATGCCATTTTTCAGATTTCTTCACCCCTTAGCCAAAAACTACAAATAACAAATTATAGCAAAATCGGAGCACAATTACTACATTTTGCCACATTTTATATGGGGATCTGCCACTGTGCGTCCTAGCCTAGTGGTTAGAGGTGCGAACTTTCATTCGGTACGAAAAAGGTGCGGTTCCTGGTCAGAGCAACATCCAAAAAAATGTTTCCTAACAGCGGCCGCCCCTCGCCAGGCAATGGCAAACGTACCATGAAAAAGTTTCTGATAAAAAACCAATTGCCGTTCGGAGTCGGCGTAAAACTGTAGATATGTACTAGGGCATTCAATCCCGGGATTCAGGATCCCGGACACTTTCCCATGTCCCGAAATCCCGGGATTACAGCTCCGGGATCCCGAGATTTTTGATTTTTTGATTTTGATTTTTGTTGAAACGAAAAAATTAATTCATTTGACTTGAAAAACGAGATATACAGAACACCCAAATTTTGATTCAAAGTGAACTTGAGCCATTTGCACTCGGAGGTGAATTTCAGAACCTGCCTGAATAAATGTAATTGTTCAAACATTTTGTGCAGGAACTGTGTAATAACGAAAAATCTGGTAGCAATAGAAAACACGACAAGATTTTATAGTGTGGAAGGTTTGTTCCTCATTTTATTTTGTTGGCGTTTTGCGGAAAATGAATTTCTGAAGATATTAGTAAAAGAGGTTTTTACAATTAATATAGATATTTAAAAATACTATAAAAATATTTCGACATTAAATTACGGACTCTTTTACTAAGGTGCATTATGCTCCCTGTAAGACCAAACACGGTGACAACGAATCTGTGTGGTTTAAAAAAGGCGAACCTACTATTAAATGCAAAAGTTGTGATGAAGTCGAAATCCCGAAAAATCCCGGGATCCCGGGATTAGAATTTTTTCATCCCGAAACCCCAGGAATGTTAAAATGCTTCGGGATTGAATGCCCTAATATGTACATCCGTATGTATAACACAAATTGGAGGTGAAAAATTATTAAATTATTAGAGAATAACGGCTCTGTTCTGTATCAGTGACAAATTCTTGTCACAGTTTTTTTACCGAAAAATATATGAAAAAGTTTAAATTGGTCAGTAAAAAAAAATTTGTCACCGATACAGAAATTGGGCTATAAGTATTTTAAAATTTGAAATGCAGTGACTCAACCAAATGACGTGTTAATTTTTTTATATAATGTTTTTCGAGCAAATTTTTTTTTTATATAAAAATGCCGTCTAAGCTTTAACCAAAAACAATCTTTATACAAAATTTAAGAAAATTCAAGAAATTTTCATCAAAATTTCAACTTTTTAATCTGAATCTTTAGAACATTTTTGGGTCGCGTTGATTTTTGAGAATTTTTTAAGAGACTGATTTTGCGTTTTTTTTTTGCATATAACAAGTGGAATTTACAAAAACTGGCTTTGATTTTTTGAAATTTTGTTGGTAACGGTCTCCCGCGTATTTCATAACAATGCATGCTTATATGAAAAAAGTGCAAAAATCCGTCATCAAAATAAAAAACAAAAATCTCAAAAATCAACGGGATTTTTTAGCCGTTTGAAACATGCACTTTATTTGACTAAAGTTGTATGGGCTATAAAACTGCGTACCCAAAAATTTTCTAAAGATTCAGATTAAAAAGTTGAAATTTTGATGAAAATTGCGAATATTAAAAAAAACAATCACCACCTGCTCATTTGTTTGAGTCACTATATATATGTATGTATGTTGAACTGCCATTTCGTTTAAATTTATCATATTCTCGTTATATGAGCCTATAAATGGATAGATCCTATTATCCCCTTCATATGAATCTTGCAGCTACTAGTACGTTTACTTATGCACTTCAGCAATTTCTCGAATTTTTTTCATAATTATGTATGTAGGTGCTATCATAACTAATAATTAATTTAACTAATTAAATTTTATAACCTCAATATAAAGAAAAATTATGAAATTGTTTATAACTCACCTCCTTCTCTTCCTCTTCCAATGTGAATTCCTTCTTCTTAACAACCTTAAGTTGGTTACGGAAGTTAAATTCAGCGGCCTTCTTCTGGAGCTTGGCGAATTTGTTTTCGTATTTGGACACCTTCTTCAAGGCTGGTTTCACGCTAAAAGTATGAAGGAAAAAATAAAGAAAAATTAGTAAAAATCAAATTCTTGTATACTATTTATGTTATATACATATATGCCAAAAAAATCAACTAAGGACAAAGTTGAGTTACGAGTATTATATAGTTATATAAATGCTTGTATAAAATTTTTGATCATTGGACTTACTAAGTATAGATAATTATTATTTTTTTTAATATTTAATTTTTTGAAGTATACTTACAATTTGCCACGCAGATCGTTAACTTGGGCATTGAGATCGTTGATCTGTAGATCGGCGTGAGTTGCATAATATCATATAAGGCACAATTCAGTAACCAATGAATTTAAGGGCAGTGGGGAAAAATTAAAAAAAATAAATAAATAAACGAAATCATTAATATTATTTCAATGGGTTTTTTGTTTAATAAAAATCAAAGCACTTTGCTAAAAACTAAAAAGGTTATACCATATACCATATAAGTTGGGTTAGTTTATTTTTTATTTTATTTTATTTTAAGAAAATATAATTAATTAGAGACAAAATAATTACGCATACATACATTTAGCGACTCGAACAATGTGTTAGATTATGCAAATAAAAATTTTTTTTTTTTATAAATAATAATACTTAGAATGCGCTTTTTGTAGCTTGAACAAGACCGCACGGTAGTTGGCAGCAGCAATTCCAGCTATACGAAGGAAGTTTTTTTCCAATGTTTTTTTTTTTTAGTAAATAAATAATCCACATGAAGAGAAAGAAGATAGGGCACTTTGCTCATATGCAAATTTATAGAGATTTTTATATTGTCTCCATTTGTTAGCGCGCTTTAGTTTTTTTTTTTGCTTGGAAAATTAGTTATTATGCTCGTGAGATAGAAAAGTGTGAGCTTTTAGTCAAGAATCGTTATAGTTGATTCTTTATTGGGATTATAAGTAGTAAAGAGTTACTTTAGAAATGTATAGATCGATATTTTTTTTTGTTTTAGAAAGCGTCTGAACAACATAACATCGAAATGTCGATTTTTTTTGGGGTTTTTTATTCCAATTTCATACGCCCTCATCTCTGGCAGCTAGAAAAATTCATTCCCCATGGCGAGTAGAGAAGTAGGTACATAATGCTCAAAAAGAACAGGTGATTTTTTCTATGATCTTGGTGGGCGAGCGATCTGTATTATATTCTAAAGTGATACTTTGATTTGAATTCCCCTAAAAAAAATTTGATATGTTTGTATGTATTAATGAAATTTGAAAAATAACCATCGAAAATTGTATACACTTTCATAAGCATTTAGTTGCAGAAGATAGAGGCCATGCACAAGTGTACACAATTTTCATTTGTTGTTGTTTTTGCATAACGACAATTAGTCTGTTCGATAATCCGATAAATATTACAAATTATCAGGAACAAATTTTACTAGCAGCAATTTGCCTGCAAGAAACTCCGCTGATCAAAGTCGTATGCCTGCAATTTATGAAAATAATGATATTCATGTTTATAATTTTTAAGTTTAAAATAACTTATTGGAACGCCAAATATTTGAGAAGAAAGCAAATACTAATTTTCTTGCGTTTTCTTAAAGCCAATTTGTGTTTTTTTTACTCGTATATTCTTTTCTGTTTTATGCTTTCGTATGTAAACAAAATGACGATCAGCTGTACCTAAAAATTGCAACTTTTGCAAATTTTGCCTTCGCGTATTTTTATTTATTTTTTTGTTATTTTCCAATTATACATTTTTCACTCGAGATCTATTCGAACCGACTAAATGCCTCATTATGTAAAACGATGTGAGTTTGTATCACAGAATACGCTGAACAGACATAGCATACTTTTTGGCTCTTGCCGAAATGCGTGGTCTTTAGTCAGTGGTAGTCCCTATACAGATTCTACAGATCGCTTCACACCATTAAATTTTTAGCTTCGTTGATTCTATAGCGCTTATAATTTCACACAACACTAATTTTTCGGTTTTAAATTATACGTATATATTTTTTTCGAATTACAAGTAATCAAACTGAGGTACTGCACAGTATGGCACATAATTTGTGTTTTTTTTTTTGAATACAAATACATGTGTTTTCTGACAACATAAAGTTTAAAATATTTGAAATATGTAATTGATTAAATAATGTCATAACATGAGTGTTTTGAAAAAGAAAGAAATAATCATTATAATAAAAGTCGCATTAAAAATGTTTGTGTTTTTTATTTGTCGTAAGTACGTTTTAGTGTGAATGGGGGTAAGAGTAAAAAAATGTGAGTTTACAAAAAATATAAAGTCATAATGATTTTTTTTTTTAATTGGTTTATGCATACAATTAAAGCCAGGTGCACAATAAAATCAAAGGAAGTTGGCGAAGATTAATTTTAAAATTGTAGTAAGCAAGTACAAAACGGAAATAAAAAAGTTATACAAATACAAATCAAAGGATAGAAAATTTGAGTTGTAATGCCAAATTTCCACTTGGCATTGAAAAAAAAAAAAAAAAATATCATGTAATTTAAAGGCACTATTTAGAAATGGATTCAGCGACTGTCTTTATTAACGTAATGACATCAGTATCTTTCAATGCCTAACCTTGCCACTATAATGTAGATAATTAAATGCGCAGTGGAAATCCGGTATAATGCGGTTAAAAGTTCCGATTTCTAAAACGTGTACATTACTAAAAAAAAATGCCATTATTTTTATATTTTTTAAATTTTTTATACACGGTCTGATCTCTCGAAATTCATTAGAATATTTATTAGAGGGCGCTTCCACTTTAATTCCACACTTAAATTACATGAATGATCTTAATTTCAATCACAAATTCTGTCATGCTGCAACTTATGATTCTTGTATGATCGTCCATCTTGCTTTTGATGGATATTTTTTTTTTAGTTTGAACTATTTGGTTTTGTGTTTATCAGTTTTAAATACTTTTTGCTTAAAAATCATTCACAGTACGCAAATTTGTTTAGTTTTATTCATGAAATAGAAATAATATTTTCTCAATTTCACTTAAATTGAGGTTCGTATACAGTTTGAGCTAACAGTTTTGCATAAGACCAAATTGAAAAGCGTTTCGCAGTTAAAGCAAACTTAAGAATAATTCTCAAATTGCGCAATTTGTACCTGGTGGACATACATTATTAGAATATTCGATTAATTAGAAAATTTCGAAAATTCGAAATTCTAAAATTATTCAATAAAAACTTTAAGAGTTTCAAATGCATCGTTAATTTTTTTTTTGTTTAAAAAGTAATACGAAAATTTTATAAAATTTGTTTCGCTTTGCAGTGTAAAAATACTCCAGAAAAAGGCACTATATAAATATTTTAATTTCATTTTAAATATAGGGTATGTATGTGCGTGTTTCGCATGGACAGGCAGTTTATGAGCAGCTCTTACACGGCATGTGTGTATGTATGTATGAGTATGTGTCCTGCTGTCAGCAGAAAAGGAGTGGTCAGTTTTTAGACGATAAGATAGAAGTTGGAAAATTTGCGTGGCAACACTGGGTGACTTCCAATTAGCGCAGCAACTCCGTCACACAAAAAAAAGCTGGAACAAAAGTGAAAGCCCCCAATGCTTTCACACCAAGCGTATGTTTGTTGTAGGGTTTACAAAAATTACAGTATTAAAAAGCTTTTAAAAAACTTAAAAAAATGAGTGAGAGAAAAAAATAGTAAAGAGTGAGTAGGTAAATATATTTGAGAGTAACGCAAATAAAGAAATTCACAAAGTAGAAAGAAACGTACAAAAATAAAATGACAGTTATGGATAACTTTGTCGAATGGTTAGCGAAAAAAGATGGGTGGTAACACATTTATTTGAATTTTTAGTATTATCGCACATTTAGCTATGCAATTTTGTGTATTGTAATGATTCGAATTTCGTTTCATTGAAATTTTTGTTACTCAGCTGGTAGCATTATTAAATATTTGTTATATAAAATTTATGAAATTTATGAGTGCACTTCTTGTTGAGTCATCTGCACGAGTTTGCGAGCTAACGGAGTCCACAATGTTTGCATACATACATATGTAGGTATGTATGTATAAAATGATTGATGAGGTAAATTGTGAAATTTACAATTTGCTAAATTTAATTTTTTCATATACATAAGTATCTGCTACGTTTTGCAATTAAATTTGTTTCTTTAGTTATAGTGCGTAGTGTAGGGTGTTGCTGATTTCGCGATTACACGATTACAAAATTAATGTGCCATACTGATGCTTTTCATATGCGAATTTCGAATTAATGTTGTCTTTTTTTCAAATTCTTTATTTACACCAAAATCGACTATCTTTCAAATTGATGTTGTCTTCAGAACACTTTCGTTTAATTTTTTTTTAAAGCGCGAAATGCACAGTGTTGCATTTGTAGTAATTCCCCTTAAATTTGGATGCGTATTCATCGATGTGGATCCTGTGTGGATTTCATTTACTAACTTGATCGCGTTTGCGTTTGAATACTATTTACAGATGCTGTTATTACTGTTGCTGCTTTTGCGCAATTTTGCAAATTTTATTTGTGAGGGAGGGGTTTTGCGGTGCCTTAAGTAGCAGAGGTGTGACTGGTATAGGGTAACATAAAAATAGTAGTTAGGGAGTGAGCGAGAAGCACAGAGATACATACAAAGAGAGAGAGAGAGAGATAAGAAGAGCGCTTCTAGGCAAAGGATTAGTGTTTATTTGTGTCAAGAGCGTAGGACACTTGAGTTGTTAGGTGCCAGTGTGGTTAGGAAGAAACTTTTGACAAAGAGTGTGCTACAGTTCAAGCGCACTATATACAAATGTACATAGCAGCGCTCCACGGAGTTTTCTATTTAGTTTTTAACGAAGGAGCGTTTGGACTTGGAATACCCAGTCGGACTAGGCTAGGCTTCCAAAATGTACTTATAGCACGGTTCTTTTTCCACTCAGAGGTAGTTCCTAAAACATGAAGTCATAAACTCGCTTTTATACAGGCCTGAAACACAGCAAGAACGGTTCTTTAAGAAGGCAATTTTGCATGAGGTGATTGCTGTTGGTTTGCAGCGCTTTATAGAGTTTTTTTTTATCTTCGATCGCACTTATTTGCCGAAGTCCAAGCATTACAAAATGCTGATTTCAGCAGTGAAGTTTTCGTGTCTCAATGTCTTGAATTATGGTGAAAAAAGAATGCGATTACTTCTCCATGGAGATATTTACTAATTTTTCATACAGAAATTAAATGTATTTACTTCAAATTTCTCATGAAGAAATTAGTACCTAAAAGGGCAATCTTTTCGGAACGGTCCGACTGGGTACTTATGTACATATATGCAGTGTAGCGCGTGTGTGAGTATGCGTGTTGGGGAAAGGAGGAGTGTAGCGTACATATATACAAAAGAGCAAAGTGTGCTTCAAACGCTTAGATACAAATGCAAGTATACGGGTAGTAGAAACTATTTGGCGGGCGAATTTGGTTTTAGTAACTATTTAGCAAATTTTTTTTTAACAACAACTCTAATTTTTTGGTGCTTTATCGCTTTTAAGAAAATGTGTCGGGTAGAACAAATAAAAAACACAAAACATAATTAATAGACAGAAGAACTAAATAATGTTAAACATTTTTGTGCTTGTGCAATTAAAAAAATTTACATTTATTTCTATAAGAAAAGAGTAAAGAATGTGCAAATTTCAGTTATAAAAAGTGTAATAGGTGTTTTGTGGTTTTGGTTGCAGCAGCATAGATCATTTCAATCGACTGTTTTCAAGTGTTCAAGTGTGATTTCAATAAATATCAAATCAATGGTGTTTGGAAGTGTAAATAAATAGATACATATATATGTACATATATGTGGGTAGGTACATTCGACCGTACCACCTTATTAGCAAACAAAAGTAAGGTCCCCGAATGACCACTGAGTCTAAAGTATTTTTGTGAAGCAATTTCGAAAAAATGGTACTGGTGACATTTACAATCGGCAAAAAAAAAAGTTTTAAATAGTTCTGTTGGAATAACTTCCCTAGCAAGAGTTTAATGATTTTTGGAAAGCTTTACTCTACTGGCATTATGATGCTCGTTTAGGGTGATAAGAACTGAGATCTCTTGGGTAAGTACTAGAACGGAGTACTTAAGGTTAGTGAACTTTGAAATTAAAAAAATTTTCTCCTCGAGACAAAAATATCGATGTCAGATACTTTAAGATCCGACAGTAATGCCGAAGACATGACTAAAAATGACAAAAGTCGACCTTTTCGTTCGACCAAAAATATAAAATCGAAATTGTTTTGAATCGAAATACTTCCTTAGCAAAAGTTTAATAATTTGTGGAGATCTGAGATCTGGTGGGCAAGTACTAGTACGAGGTATATAAATAAATAAATTTCTACTCCGACTGTAAATGCCGAAGATATGACGAACAATGTAAAAAGAGACCCTACGTTCAGCAAAAAAAAAAAATCTAAATAGTCTTGCAAAAATGCTTTACGACTCAGGAACGTACGACGAACTTTTTTTATGGTACGGTACAATGTACATTTCACTGAATGTGAATCTAGGTGAGTGAAGGTGCGAAGTGCCAATGAAAATACGAGTATCTACCATAGAGCAAACAAAAGATAATATGTAAAGAAACCACTACAGAAATTGATGCGCCTAAAACATACAATACTTTCTACTATGCGCAAAAGTAAACATACTTTAAGGAGGCTATATATACAATAGGCTTTGCAAAATTAACTCATAATACAAAGAGGCTGAGAGGATAGCTGGTAAAAGTGGAAAAGGGTCGGCAAACTACAGGAGCTTACTAAAAGACTAATATGGCGTTATGGCGTTATGTAAGTATGTATGTATATGACTTGAGGTTCTCGTAAACGATGAAAATAGCGCTCAAGGGAATAGGAATTCACGCTCATTCTCAACCGTCTAATTAGTAAAGAGAATGAATATTTACTCTGCGATGAGGCTGAGAATGAGCATGAATTTCTACATGTACTCATAACAACCTATTGCCATCTTTTAAGAGCAGTTTTATGATGAATGTTTTTTGATGAACTTGAATGTAAAATATGTATTTTTTACGAAATCATGTTTTTTTGTACTGCTATATAATAATAAGTAATAATAACCATAATGTTTTTGTACTTCTTTTGTAAGTGTGATTTGTGCTGAATGTGTATGTGTTTTTTGTTGTTTTATACTGTCACAAACTTTACGCTTTTTTGCTTGAAAAAATTATTAAACAAATTTGAAATTTAGATGCAATTAACCACATACATATACGATTTTCATGTTCGTGTTTGTGTTTCGTTTTTGTTTGCTTACTCTCTCTCTTTTGCGAGAGAACATATAACACAAATTTCGCTTTTCATTCATTTTAACTTTGAATATTTTTTTAATATGATTTGGTTTGTTTTGCAGTACCTCCCAGTCTTTTTTCCTGACTTCGTATTCCAGATCCCATTTCTGGCCTTCGCATATATACATGCGCTCGTAATACTCTTCACAAATCTCTTGTAATTCGCCTGTAAATATTTTTTTTTTTTTGATATAGTATGAAATTTTATATAAAAAATAGAAAGAGTGAGAGAGAGGTTGATTGAGTGTGATCGAGGGGGAGAAAGAGAGCAAACGAGCGTAAATAATGATCTACTACATAAAATGTATCTCTTTCTCGTTATTTGTTACCTTTTTTAATATAATTAATGTTTCATCAAATAGCAAATTTCAAAAAATCTTCATGATGTTATGTGTTCAAGTGTGAGTTTGCGTTTTTTAGGAATGTAAATTTTATATTCTAAGTATATAGATTTTTTTTAAAGAGGAGGGCACGCCAGGTTTTCGTGTTTCTTTTTTTTCGTTTCGTTTGGTTAAACAATTTTTTTTTTTTGGTTGGCAAAGAAAAGATAGCAATAACAAAAATTAATTGCCTTATGGGTTGCATATAACTTTGCTTGGAGTTTATACTTAACTATGACCGATAATAAAATAATTTAACAAAAATCAAAACTTGCAGTTTGAAATAAAGATTATTAGAAATAAATTTTGATACAGAAAAGTCATGTCTAGTTTCATCCAATACATAGAAGTAGAAAGCTAAGCAAAATTTAATTATGTAATAACATTTGATTTGAAAAAAAAAAAGATTTATATTAAATTAATCGAACAATAAAAAAAATCAAAAATAAAACTGTACATTTTTTATGCAATACATATACACCATTTTTTCATAAAATTTGTGTTGTAATTAGACGAAAGTATAGCAAAAAAACTGTTTAACGTACACCTTTTCTTCGAATTTGCTTATTTTTTGTTTTACTTAAACTATGTTATGCAAAAAAAAAATCATATTCAGCGTAAGTCAGCTTGCTGTTTTGTAATTTTATATCAAAAATTTTGCATTTATCAAATTTATTTATTTTGATTTTTATTGTTTTGCAGCCTTTATTTACCTCTTGTGCCTTGACTTTTTCTATATGCTCTAAATCAAATTTGTCCCCCTCCAAAGCGAAGAGGCGTTGCCAATATTGTTTGCAAATTGTTTGTAGTTCAGCTGAATGACGTGACATTTTGTTTTAATCAATGCAATACATACATACAGACATAGGAATAAATTTGTAATGCAAATGTAAAATTTACGTTTGTTTATTAATTTAAAACAAAATAAAATATGTATTGGTTTTTGTTTTGTGAAAGATTTGTAGGGGTATGTATGTAGGTATGTAAAACTGTTATTTTGTGATATGAACCGTTTTTATGTTGCTATTAAGTATACTACATACTTCTAATGATATTTCTGTTGTCGGCAAATACAGCAAAACCTCGATATAACAAATTGCAGGGTTGGACAAATGCTTCGTTATGTCTATAGTTTAGTTATATTTATAGGACATCAAAACATCGATACAAAGAAAAATGAAAACTTTTTTAAAAAATTTGTTATAAGTATGTATCTTTCTTTTCTTTATAACGGGACTCCAACCGTCAGCATATTTAGAATTCGCTGTGTAGAGGATTTTTAAAATTTCTTCCTTCTATCTGTGGAGCATTTATGCGTGGAAAATATCCAATCAACGTGATTTTTTCAGTGGATTTCACCAAGTTTTGTTATATTCAGTTTTTCGGTTTATAAATGTTCGTTATATCAAGGTTTAATTGTATATACTAAGTATGTTATGTATTTACTGGCGATTCGCAAATATTTATGTATATATGTATTCTATCCTATGCAATTTGATTAAGTGTACCTACATGATATTATGCTATATTTTTTATTACTTTGGTATCTCACACAGTGGATCATCTATTATAGTGTCACGACCAACCTATCTCCAAATGCTACTATTCATTTCCTTTACCAAGCTAAAGAACTCAAGAAGATTTTGTTCCACCTTATCACATTTTTAGCGTGGGAAAAAGTCTAATTTTTTCATTTCAAAAATCCAATTATTTAAAGGAATTTCTTGCATCAGGAGACCTCTGTATAAAAAAATTAACAAAAAAAGTGCATGCGCAAAATTTCAATCGATTTGAAAACATAAAAGTTATAGAATACCAGAAAAATAACAAATTCTTTGATCAAAAAGAGGAAGCCTATCCCTACAGCTCTGTGTACATATGTAAAAAGAGCTAACCGGCATGCGAAAGATCTCGACTAATTCTCGACTCGTTTTGGACTGCTATTTAAGGCTGATATCAGGTGCTCACTGGCAACCTAAGCGACCCTAATATCAATACGTACATACATATTTAAGCCACACCCTAACTACTCTTGGGAAAAAATAGCATACGATATTAAAGGAGATTCTCTTGCCAAATTTCACCGTTAAAATATGGCTTAGGAGAAACATAAAAACAATACCTACCGTCTATTCTAAAGACGAAATGAAATTTTTTATGATACATTCGTTGAAATTCCATTTTGAAATACACGTCTTAAAATAAATGCATGTAGTTGAATTATGAATAAATTATGCATGTAGTGGTACATGAAAAAGTGATTGCTTCCTTTAATGATTTCTATACGTTGTATTTGTTAATTTTTACAAAATACAATCAATTTGTTATGCTTAGTATACAGCTCTCAAGAAACATTTGAAGAAATTTATTTCATTGCTTGCAAAGTACCTTGCCCGTGCTGTAAATTTTCTTGAAGAGATAAACAGGGTTGCCACTTTGGTAAATTGTTACCAAAATTGGTAGAAAAAATTTTGGGTTGGTAAAAAGGTAAATTTTTCCTCATTTTGGTAGATTTCTGTTGAACTTTTCGTTCCCGATTTATTTTTCGTAGTTATCTTTATATTATAAATTTCTTTGCATACTTTTTATATACTTACATACATACGTATAAATGTATATCGATATAAGGCGAACATATCGTGCTCTATTCAAAACTCATTTAACTGTAATCTCGAGGAGCTTTTGATTGCCTAAATATTTGAAATGATTATTTAAATATATATAAAGAAAATATTGACAGGTATGTAATGACGCACTATGATTGTTCTAAAAAAAAAATTAAATCAACGCCATTTTTTATCAATAGAAATTGTTAAATAAAAATAAAACACAAAAGACTGGCGACAAAAAATAAAAAAAAAATCAACGGGAAGCACATTGTGAGCCTATACTCAGGTATTATTTGCTTTGAAGCTCGGTACCTTAAATTGTACTAAAAATTCAGAGTAAGAAATTGGAAATTTGGACGGAAATTTTTTGAACTTTTCTAAAGTTTGAATCCTTAATTTTTAAGGATTTAGTTAAAGCAACAAACAATTTTTACTTGAAAAACATTGCGAATAATAACAAAAATTACGAAGTGCTTTTTTCAGTCACTTTATTTGGCTATAATAACTCGAGTTGAAGTTTTTCAAATCATGAAGTTTCGCTGTTGCCTTTAGTTTCATCACTTCCGCTTTTGGTTGAAGGAAACTGCGAATATGACTCAAATAACGTATAATTAATTAAATAAATAGTTCCTTTAAAACAATTTTACTTATTGAAATAACTAAAAAAATAAAAAATTATAGTTTTAATTAAAATAACAAACCTATAGTTTTTATTGAAATAACTATAAAAAATTTATTGGTAGATATTTTCCAGATTTGGTAGATTTCTCTCAAGTGGATGGTAAATTTATTTTTTCGTCAGTGGCAACCATGGAGATAAACATACGATAATTTATTTATTGAGAGCTGTAAATTGATTTAAGAAATTTAGATAGAAGAAAATTTCTATTCCATTTCTTGAACGTCCTAGAACTGTATACTAACCTTAACAGCGAAAAAAAGGAGAAATCCGTAAAGAAAAAAATTTGTGCTGTGAAGATTTCTCGGATAAGAAAGGGTAATAGCTGAAATACAATGCCGGCGAACGGCGAACTCACCACAGCGAAATTCGCGCTGTCAAAATTAGAACACCCGCAAGCATATGAAATTGAACACAGCCAAAGCGAAATGCGAAGTTCGCTTGGCGGCGTTTCATGGCGATAGATTTATTTCTATCGCCCTGCTGGGCGATGACAGCTGTGCGTGCCAAAGGTGGCCGTATTTGTTTTTTTGCTTTCAAAGTTTTAAAAGAAAACAACCTAAACACGATTTTTTTTTTTGTTGTTTGAAAAATATAGTTGTGGATTCGTTAAATCTGGCTTGAAACAAATTATTTATAATAATCTTTCTTTGTTTTACATTTATATTTGTTATCATTTCCTCATTTCTAAATATGGTTTAGTTTTTTCTAAATATGGTCACCCAAATTATAAAGGCGACCAAATGGGATCAGCTGTTTTCGCTACCGCTCTAATTCTGTTTAAGTAGGCGAAATAGCTGGGCGAACGGTGAACGACAGCATCGCCCAATTCGGCGTAGTTTGCCGTTCGCCGGTATTGTATTTCAAGCATAATATGAATATGACGTGAAAAACGGTTACTATACACGTACAAGTTGATTTAGTAAAAGCTGCGTCAAAAAAACAAAATACTCAGCTTCTACAGTAGGTATTTGTACAAATATAATTTTTTATTTATTTATTTTTATTCTATTTTTTTTGTTAAGAAGATATTGACAAGTTATGTAAGTAGATTGGCTTGCAAAAATCAAGAGCCAGGATGAAACGTTCGAAAAGACGTTCAGGACTAAATGGTGTTAGCATAAAGGTTATAAAATTAAGTGATGTCAGAAGAATTGTTATTGCTCAAATAATGCACTGGTTTATACAGGGATGATGATTGGAATGGTTAATAGACAAAAAAAAAAAAGTGGACAAGCAGTTGGCGTGCGTAGAAACAAAAAAGCCAAGAGCGGTAAGCAGATCTTCCAAAAAAAGTTTGCAAATAAAAAATAAAAAATCTGCTGATCGCAATTAGCACAAAAACCGTGAGTCTAGATTGCTTACAAAAAGAAAACAAAATTAAGCTTTCAACTACATACGCAACTACTTGTAATTTTTTGTGTAAAATATATAAAAAATTAGAAAAAGTTTACTAGCTACTTGGTTAGATACACTTCCAATATGAGTAAGAGTACTTTAACTTCAAAATACAAAAGTGAAAGTATAGACACTTTTTATATACAGATTTTCAATGCAAAAAATTTTAAGTACTTCAAAGAGCAAAAAAAATGCTATCACCAAACGCAAAAAGGTTAAAAGTTAGCAATTATATCTATTAGTTAAAATTTTAATTTTGAATTCAAATATCCGATTACGATACGTATTCTTATACCAAGAAGTATTTAATACAAGTTGAGCACCAACAACGGGAACCTTTTCCAGTACAGAGGGGTTCGGTTCTCTTTTTTTATTGTTTTACTTTTATTATTATATACTGAAAGTTCGTTTAAAGGACAGAAAAAAGGAAACGACAAAAAACACAAAACTACAAAACAACCATAAAAATAGTAAAAAAAAAATGATCGAGTATCATCAACTTTAAAGCCTGGCCCTAAAAGGTTTTTTCATTAGCTACTTTTTAATATCTATGTATGTATGTGTATGCGTACTTTCAACTAAATAATCTCTATATTACCAATAAAATTCCAACCAACTACAGTCAAAATGAGTTTTGATTTTTAGAATGTCAAAACAAAATAACACCAAAAATTATATAATACTTTATAAGCGCAAAAAAGAAACTTTCAATCAGTACAAAAAATAAGTTTCGCAAAAATATAAGAATGAAAAAAAAAGAAATTTTTTTTGAATATAAAATTCATTTAATTATTTCTTGCCTCTAATTCCTTTTTGGCAACCTGATACTCAACGTCATATTTCTGATCCTCCAATTTGAGTATTTTACTGTAATAATCCTGTACAACTTTCTTTAGTGTTTCTGCGGGCAGAAAGTGCAATTAAAAAGTGAGAAAACGGTTAATACGGAACGTCTTTTTTTGGTGTATGTTCTTTTGGTGATTGCGCCATCTGTGCTGGGGACGAATTTTGTATGCGCTCGCATGTATGTACATATATGTTTATGTTTGTGTGTATATGGGTGCAATGGATGAGGATCGAATGGAAGATATAGGAAGAGGTTGAACCTTTGAAAAATCGTTTTCTTTTCTACATATGTATGTATTTCAGTTGCTTTAACTACCATAAAAATATAATTTGGGGTTCGTGTGTATTGGGTGTGTGTGTGTGTTGAACTGAGTGTAACGAATTATTTAAATAAAATAACTGCTAGTGAGAATGTGTCTATTTTTTATTGTGTATTGAAGTTGCGATAACTTCAATATTTTTATAGTATACATATTAAGTAGATATGTATACTGTAAAATTCCATATATGAAAAAATCAAGAAAAAAATTAAAATAAAATATATACATATGCGTATGCAATTGTGATTATTGAAATCTATTAAGGACTAATTTTTGAATTACAGGAACACATTAACATTTTTGTGTTCATAGAGGTCTAAGAAAATTTCTATGTATTGTTTGTGTATGCAGTTGCCGTCATTGAAATCCGGACAAATAGTTGGGATGCAGTTTAAGTTAAATACTTCGAAAATTGCGACCTGCGTTTTCAGATTAGTGACGCCCGCTAGTGGTTGTCCTTAAGGGGGTGTTCAATCTTTTTTACTACATACATATACTGGTTGCTGATGAGCTTCTGGAAAGCTTAAAATAAAACGCAATCAGCGCTTTTGGCTATGCAAATGATTTTTCCATCTAAATAATTGACGGTAATTCTCCATCGTCCCCTTTACCAAAAGAAGGTAAGGAAATTTGACTAAACCCACTCTCGAGAGGTACGGAGATTGAGTTGCCACAAGAAGGGAAGCATTTTGGAAAAACCATGGACAAAATTCTCAGCGGGAATTTAGATCTAATAGCTAATATCAACAAAGCTACTAAGGCATTTTAAGCATGTCAAAGATGTTGTAAATAGCCTAAGGGTAGGGTGAACTATTATAAAACTATATGTCGCAGCGAAAAGTACAATCAATATTATTATTTAAAAATAAAAAACTATTATACTTTTAGAAGTCCGGATTTTAATGCCCGCGATTATATTTTGTTTAAGACAATAATGATAAATCTGATTTAGGATTAGGACCAAACAGCATTCCTAGTGGTAAACATGTATGCAGCTTTAGTGATTTGGAAGTAGGCTGCATTAAAGACAGTCGACTGCAGACAACAAAAAGTAACATCCGTGATTAGCTTCCACAGATACTTAGTTACACAACCTAGCAAAACTGAGCAAATGATGGCGCTCCAAGGGGTAACGCTCCCACCCATCTACCACTGCTTATATCGTTGCTCTTATCTATGTTACATTTCAAAGGACGATTCAGCAGCTACTTAAATATTTAAAACTAATGGGAATGGTTTATCTTATTCTTTTATAAGTCTTAAAAAATTTTGTGTAACAAAATTTCTTTTGTTTTTAGCTAATGTATCGTTATCGTTGTTGTTGCAAGTTATTTGAACTCAGGTGAGTGAGTGCAGTTTGAAAACGCATTTAAAAAGGTGTTGTAAATTTGTAAAATAACAAATTTAATATTTTAATATTTATATACAAAATAAATATTATAAGTGACTTTGAAAGAATTTGTGTGCAATAAAAAAACGTGATAATTAAAAACTTTTGTAAGTGTGTTGAGTTTAAAAATAAATTATTTATATGTGAGTGTAAAAAAAAATTTTAAAATAGTAAAGTAAAGAGCGCAAGAAAGAGATAGAGAAAGTGTTGTATTAAAATTTTAAGTTTTCAAAAGCATTGGTTTAGTGTTTTTACGTAATATCGTTTTGAGTGTTGTTGTTGTTTTTTGCTTTAAACAAAACATATTAACAGCAGCATTGCAAATACCCCGCTCCACGGCCAGAGGTGCCGATATTGTAAGCGATAGCTAACTATGTACTAAACTAGGCAAAAATGAAAATAATGAAATGTGTATCCATTTTTCAGGGGAAATTTGTGCTGCCGCTTTACAAGCTCCGCCCATAACTGGTGACGGGAGCGGAGTGTGTGTTGTTGCGTGCGAAAAAATAAACTGCTTTAATTTGCTGTGAACGCACGTATTTAGTTTTTCAGTAGTTTTTGGCGAGAAAAAAGTTTTTTTTTTCAAAAATTTTGGTTTAGCGCAGTTATGTGCTTTAAATAGTTTTTGTGTGTGCTTGCTGATTTTTTCAAATTGAAAAAAAATCAAATTTTTTGTTTGTTTTGTGTGTACCTCAACATCCTTGCGTTTAACAACATACTCAAGGTCATATTTCTGGTCCTCCAATTTATTAATCCTGTCATAGTGTTGCTTGATTATATTTTTAAGTGTTTCTGCAGATAAGTGGAAGTGAAAGAATTGCGTTTATAACAAAAATCAACACAATTTCACAATGTTTGTCTGGGTTTGTTTTTGGTTTTTTTTTTTGTTTTATCTTGTTGCTCAAAACAAATAAGGTACGTAAATATGTACATATGTATAATAAAAATAAGAATAAAATATGAATAAACCAAAAATCTTAAAAATATGGTTATCAAAATTAACTAACGGGCTACTAAACTATTGTGAAAAAATGAGCATTTTTTAGGTAAAAATTATTTAAAAAAAAACATTTGTAGTTTCAATCTAATCTAATTGAGGAGTAAAGTTACAAAATTTTCGTTACAGACCAGTAAAATGTGTGCATGAGTGCGTTTCTGTGTGTACGGGTGTGAGTGTGTACATACATATGTTTGTGTTTGCATTTTGCTTTTTTCATCAAAAAATGTGATTCAATGTGCTGATTTGCTAATTTTTTCATATTTTTGTTTATTGATTTCTTTAAAATTTCTCTAAAACTGGATGTTTATTCTGAAAATCTACTACTTCCTTAATTTTTCAAATTCATTTGTATGTATGTAAAAAAAATTACTAGAAACGAAATCAGAAATCTTACCTTCGCTGGCGTCGCTGAGATTTCTCGGGCTACCGCAACGTTCTTCAATGATGCGTCTACGTTCAGCGGCTTTGCGTTCTTGTTCTTTCTTCAGCTCTTCAGCGGCTTTTTTACGGAGCAACAACTGCGCAAAGAAAGATGGTAATAAATTATTAAACAATTTTCTGCTAACAAACTTTAAAAATAATTTTCTTCCATACCCTAAGCTTCTTCTTCCTTTCTGGGGTCATGAAACCCTTCTTGGCCTTCTTAGCTTTGGAGGCTTCCTCCATACGCTTGCGCACTTCAGCACGCTTGCGCTCAATCTCGGCCTGTTTAGCCTTCTTTGCCTGTAAAAATTCCAATCGAAAAGTCAGTAATTAGTCCAGCGCCAATGCAGCACACATGCAAGAAACATTCAAAGGTTGACATGACACATATGTAGACATAGGAACACATCGTTTGAGACAGCAGCAGCATTGCACTTTAAACATAGAACATCGAATGTGCGGCGTGTGGACACTTAACGACGGCACGACAGATCTGCAAACGTAAACCACAGCAAGGGACATCAAACACTTGTAAGACATTTCGGCACACATTCGCCAGATTACACGCAGTTGAGTACCTCCTCCATGGGATTTAGTGGCTTAGCTGGGGCTGCTGGCGCAGCTGCCTTAGCGCCTGCGGCTGGTGCTGCCGCTGGAGCGGCTCCGGCAGCAGGGGCGGCTGGTTTTGCTGCTGCTGCTGCTGCCGCTGGCGCGGGTGCAGCGGCGGCGGGTGCTGGTGCTGGTGCCGCTGCTGGAGCCGGTGCAGGTGCAGCTGCTTTCTTCTAAAATTTGCGAAAAGAAGGTTAAAAATATTAGTGATTAAGTAAATACAATTGGTTTGTGATTTATTGTGGCAAAACAGCGTGTAAAGCGCAGAGTAAATATTAGGCGTAGCATTGAATATTACTAGTAACGAGTTTATTTCATCATGAGTCTTTTGTAGCGTTTCATCTATATTATTCTGGGTTTGTTTATTAGTCATTGTATAGCCAAAGTGTTCGCTAAGAGCAAAGGCGAGAGTAGCAGCTTATAAACAATAGCAAATTGTATGAGCCAAGCGAATAAAGTGTAAGAAAATTTAAATATTCACCTTCGATGTGTCCTCAAGTCAACGCCAAAATTATCATTTAAAATACGCATATTTACTGCAAATTAGAGAAGAGAATGAACGTTAGTCTCTGATCTACGAATAAAGTGTAAGGATCTCGGTTTGAGCGATACTTACCTCACCTCATCATCAGCCATTTTGGATTTGTGTTTTTGGATTTATTAACTGAAAGTATACAAATTAAAGATATGTTAACATTTTACAACTATTTCAACAAGCATATAAGTTATTATGTTTAAATGTACATATATACACATATTACATGCTTGAATATGAAATTAGCTCATTCCCGACTAAAATGGCTATTCCGTAGCGAAGTGAAAGAAAAATGATTAAATTTACGATTTTTTAATAAACTTTTCTTTGTGAAGATCTAACCACTATGTCTTTGATAAATAACTGTCACTTGAAGAAAATAATCAACATAATATGTTATAAACATAATATAATATAATATACATATATTTCTCAGTACAAAAAGTTTTGCGAAAAGTATTTCATAAAGAGAAGCTCTTTGGGCACGATTTTCATTTTATGTAAAGTACGGAATGAGAATTGGCTCCCAGTTCGTAGAAGCTATTCAGGCGTTTTATAGACTTTCAACCCATTTCTTACAAGCCTTACGCCGATGATTTTCCCCTAGAAGCCAAGGCTCCAACTCTAAAAAAAACTGATCAGTTATTCGATCTTGTTTATCAAGGCTTTGAACACGGAGCCCAAAAGATGAAAGCCACAAATTTATCAATTTGGATACAAAAGCCGTCCAAACCTTTTGCTTTCCAAAAATGTCTTGATAGGGGCCGGAAATAAACAGCGTTAATGTACTCTTTTATTAAAGCTTTCGTGGCGGCTCAGAAGTCCTTGTGCGCCTTAAAAATATAAGCTTTATTCGCTTATTTCTCTCAATAGTATTATTACAAAATTTGTAAAGGAACTTATTTAATTTTTTTTTCTTGCAAATAACAAACTTGACTGACTTAAAATAAGCCAGCACCAGCTAGTGGTAACTTTTTAACTTTTTGAGCGTATAAAAGTTCTGAAAAGTTCGCTCTGAGCTTAAGATATCGAACCATGCCAAGGCACATTGAATAGCTAATATCACCAGAGCTTCCTTTCAGAAGAAAGAAAATACTACTTTGGTATAAAAAATACATAAACTGCACAGTAATCGGTGTGTGCAAGGTCTTTAGTCTGATGAATCAAAGTTTGAGATATTCGATTTTAAGCGACAAGTGCTAATGGGATAGTCTGCAAAAAACACACGTAAGTACCAAAAGAATAAATTTCGTAATGCTTTGGGAATATTTACTCGTCTGAATCCTTCGAGTAGTTCAGCAATGAATTGAATATGAGTTTCAGATTTATAGAATGATGCAGATCTTTGAAAGCAATTATTGGTGATATATTAATTTTTATTTATGTTTTTGGTATCTATTTACTACAAGCTTTGGCAAACTAAGTCATGGAACGATATTCAGTTGAACAACGCGTTTAAGTGATCCAAACGTTTTATGAAAATAGTCGATCTGTTAATAACTCAGTGGCATACATATAAAAACATATTCGTTAAGTCATCAGTTACTAGCCCTGCATCGTTGCAGCGTCAGCACTCTTCATCGGATTTTAACAAAAAACCTATGTTTACACGCCTACAAAATAGAGCTGGAAAACTATCGATGGTCGTGGCCGAAAATGTCGACACTATCGATAGTACTATCGATAGTTTAGATTGAAAAAGTCCAAAAATTAAACATAACAACTTTTGTTGAAATTGAGATCAGAATTGCTAAAATATGTCGATATTTTTGTTAAGGAACCAAATTTTATCAGCGATTTTTGGCTGTATGTATATTACTGAATAAAAACTGATTACAAAACCATCAATGTTTTCGATAGTCAAAAACCATCGATACTAACGATAGTGCCTTCGATAGTTTTCCAGCTCTACTACAAAATTCAATTGACACAGGAACTCAAGCCTAGTGAACATTTGCAGTGCCGTATTTAAAAAAATTGGTTGCTTGAGCAACAAGTAGTTGATGCCGATTTTTCAAAAAAATATTACGACTACCGATGAGGCACATTTTCACCTAAACGGTTACGTTAACAAGCAAAATTGCCGCATTCGGTGTATTGAAAATCCACATGTCATCGAAGAACAAATTATGCAGCCAAAACGAGTTACTGTTTGGTGGGATCGTACTTTTTCGAAAATGATGCCGGTAACTCAAAATTTGTATGGCCTAAAATGACATGGACCAAGACAATATGTGGTTTCAACAGGTGCCACTTGTCATACACCAAAGGAAACAGTGGCCCAATAGCGAACGAATTTTCCAAGACGAATTATCTCATGAAAAAACGAGGTTAAATACACAATTGGACTTTTTTCTCTGGGGCTACGTGAAATGTATGGTCTGTGACAATATGCCCGAGACGATTTCAGAGCTGAAGAACGAAAGCATGCAGGTTAGAAATTATATATGTAAATACAGCCCGAAGTAGCGAAAAAGTTATGGAAAACATTTGACAAGCGCATCCTGTGTTACAAGAGTAGTAGTGGTGCGCATCAAACGGGTATTTTGTTACGTACAAAAATGCCATAGACTAAACATGATGAAAAAAAAAATAATAATAATGACATGTATTTAATGCATTGTTGTTCCAAAACTCTTAATTAATTAACTCTTAATTAATTAATCAATTAATTAATGACAGCACAAAGTCCAAGTCGTGGATAATAAGGGCGCAACAGCTTTGCTTTTTTTAGGTTTACGTAAAATTATAGAGATAAAAACCAGCTGTTTCATTAATTAGTTCAAAATAAAACACATTCAAATACGCACATACGGCTGTGTGTATGTATGAGTGCACCTAAGGAAACATATGCTTCCATACCATGCGAGTATAGTGCGTTCCAAACGCAAATTTTCCACGCATCATTTATAATCATATCCAACCAAGAGGAGAACAACAAAACAGCTTTTCTCTCGAAAACTTTTTTAGCACGCCGTATATGGACGCTGGCCGGCTGCTATAGAAAGGAAAACGAATGAGTTGACGAAGTGAGCGATCGAGTGGCCGAATGGAGGTGGAGGTGGAGGTAACGTATACGCCGTGTGTGTTGCTAGATCATTCACTCATAAAAGCGATCAAGCCCAAAGCGTTTTGGTAGGCAAGTGGGAGTGAGTGAGTGTGTGTGTGAAAATATGAATTTATTTTGGAGCATGTATTTGTGAGCTTATACACGTACATACGTATTAGTAAGATTATGTATGGGAAAATAGTAATGATGGCGATAGCAAATGCAATTGACGCATACACCCACTAATTGGCTCTTAATCTGTTGACAGCACAGTGTGTTAGAGAAAGAGAAAAACAGTAACACTGAAATTGTAGTATTGGGTAAGCAGGTTGTGGCGCCGGTGGCGGTGGTGGTGGTGGTGGTGGTGGTGCCTTTGGTGGTGGTGGTGTTGGTGGAGAGAATAAATAAGTCGCGGTCATATCCAATTTCAATTGATTGTGGAGCATAGCAACAATATTTGACTGGAAGATGATGTTATTTTTTAAGCAGAGATACTCTGTGAAAATGTTTGTATGTGTAAGTGTATTATTATGTGCTTATGAAAATTTCTATATTGCAAATATGTATGTACGTCCTTGTAGCGATCGTGCGGTGTCTAACGTACTAACTGTGCCGTAGCATTGTTGTTTCTTACTATTCAATCAGCCAATGTTTAGTAAATTGGCACAAGTTTATGTACTGCACATGCCATACATCTGAACATACATGCACACATATTTGTGGTTTTTATTAACAAATTATGAATTTCCTGTTTTTAATTCCTAACAGATGTTTTGTGAAATATACATGCATATGTACATATGCATGTACACATGTATCTATGTATTTTATGTCAAGAAAGAAAATTCAGAGCAAATGATGCCAATGAAAAACAAATATAATAAGAATTTGAAAAATTTGGTTGGTGTTAAATAAGTTCTTTAAATTTTAGGTAACTACATTTGATTTGTTCATCTCTTTTAAACCAGCGATGTTTATATTGGCATACATACTTTTATTATACAGATATAATACTGTAAATAAAAAGAGCCGAAAATGCAAAAAAAATTTAAATAAGTTGAATTCTTAAAGGTTTCCATCTGTTTGCTTATTTATTAGGGAATAAATTTGCATTTTATTTCGAAATCTTTAATTGTAAATTTATTTAAACTCGCCAAAAGCGTAGTGTTGCAAAATGGTTTCTTATACTGAGATGCAAAGGCTTTGAGTAGCAATGCAACGCTCGAAATTTATTTAGTTAAACATCATGTACAAAATACCAGCAATAAATAGCATCCAAGTGTCATGCGATTGTGAAACCTTTTGTTTGAATATCCATTTTGAAAGCTTTTGTGTTTCATATTCCTAAAATAAATTTTTGTATATTTCTATGAGGTAAACAAGTTCGTACCCCCGCCGTTGATGATATGGTGCTTTGCTAACGTCACCTAACACCTACTCGCGCTTTTAAATTTATTTAACGTTGCGTGGGCCTTCAATTAATTAGACTGAGTGATGTAGTATTTTTGCTTAAGAAAAAATTGAAAATACCTACGAAGAGATGTGGAAGCTGTTGTTTTGCCAAAACAATTTTTCAAATACCTGTCGTATTGTTTCAACATTATTTATTCTATTTTATGCCATAAGTTCAGCCATTTTTGATGAACGCGAATTAGAAACAAGTAAAATAAAGCTTAACTGCAGTTAAGACCTAAGGTAAGCCCCAAGAATTTTACAATGAGGTGATGGGAAAAGTTTACTTCTTACTCTTTGCGTTTTTACTCTCGTTTGCTTGTACTTAAGATGAGCAATTACCCCATTCGAGTTGTATTTTTTTTTTTTCCAAAAGGCATAAACTGCAGTTAAATATTGAATTTAGAATTACAAAAATGTGCCTAAATGATGCCTCACCTACAACACAACTCGGAATTAACCGTTTGATAAAATTTTAAGCCCAATTCTTAATTATTTCTATTCTGAATCAGAACTTTTTTCAGTCTTCCATTTCTTGCTGCCGTAAACAATCTTCCCAAAAGGGGGAAAACGGAGACATGACCAACATATTTAGGGAGATTATTTGCCGGCAAATCTATGGAAAGTTTGAATAACGGCTCTATTCTGTATCAGTGACAAATTCTTGTCACAGTTTTTTTTTTACGAAAAAATATATGAACAAGTTTAAATTTGTTAGTTTATAAATTTTTGTCACCGATAGAGAATTGGGCTATAAAAATGATATATTAATGAAACTTTCAAACGTTATAACTCGCTCACTTTTATGATAAACATTTAGGGGATTCCCAAGGCGTGTTAAGCGTCGTAAAATCTTAAGCTTATTTTTTTTTTTTTTTGTAAAATAATAACTAAAATGGTTTTAGAGGATTTCTATTTACACCGAAATGTTTTTAACGTGATAGAAAATATATAAGTAGCTCCCAATAAAACTATTTTAACCGTTATTTTATATACAAAAATTTTAAGGATAAGATTTTGTGGCGGATAACATGCCTTGAGTATCCCCTAATTGTTCAATAATGTGTATGGAAACTATTTATCGCAATTTTGGTATACTCTCCTTGTTTGCGGCTATAAATATTTACTTAACGTTCAAAGTGGCAGCTCTTAGGCTTCTGATTTGATTTTGTGGTTTTCTTTCAAATTGTTTTGCTTAACCTGTAGCTATTGGCAATATAAATTGGTCTTTTGTACAGAAGTCAACCTAATCATTAATAATAAATTATTTATAACTCCAAAAAAATGCAAAGCAGTGATAGATGTTACTGAATACCGAGTGTGATAGTATTAACATACTATTATGGCCCTATTTCCACATCGGCGGACAAACAAATAGGAAAGCAATGTATGTTACCGCATAACTTTGGACCACGTCAACCGATCATCGGGTCATGAAGAAATTAAAGTTAGTCTTAAATTTTATATAAGAATTGAAGTCGATTTTTTTGTTTGAAAATTGCTTGTTTCATAAAAGTTTTCAAGCTTTTTATTAAGCAGTATCCCATTAAATTTTAGTATAATAAAGTGCAAGTTTGAAGTAGCTGGGATTTACTGTTGATTTTTGGTCATTTTACTTGCTGCCTGTGTAATGCATTTCCCTCTATATATATAAAAAATTTTCGAAAATACTTTGTATAGAAGAAAATGCGTAGCACCTTCAACCAAAAAGTCCTATCTATTTAAAAGCTGTACTTTACTATACTAAAATTGAATGTGCTAAAAAATTGCATACCAAATTTTTTCTAAAAATTCTGATTACGAAGTTTAAAATTTTGATGAATATTTGTTGAATCTTCATAGTTTTTGTACAAAGCTATAAATTCGGACCTGCATGGTTTTTGTTAAATACTCAGGCACACTTTCATAAAAACAAAAAAAAATTATATCTATAAATAAAAAAAAAATTGCTAAAACTTATTAAAAGTTCGCTTCCCTATTTGTTTTTCTCGCCACTGTACATATTTAGTTATTTTCACGGAACTAAATACTAAGTATCAAAATATTTCGTTGGCTTCGCTAAATACTGAATACAAAAGTAAACTCAACAAGTTCCCAAAATCGCAAAAGTTTTAAAAATCCCGAAAGTAAAAAAAACGTTCTAAGTATTATCCAAGACTAAAAACTAAGAAATAAAATGACCGATTGTTCTCTCTTTTCTTCATCATTTCCCCACTAACCTTGGAAATCATTATACTGCCATCTCTTTTGGTCGAACCCTCAGTCACAAAGCAAAGTAAGCCAAAGGGGCTTAGGCGGTCATTAAATGTCAAAATAGCAAAATTTCCATAACTAATAGCCAGTTTCACGAAAGCAATTGAAGTGACAAATGATTTTTTTGTTTTACTTGAATTTAATATGGAAACTGACAGAAACCAATAATTTTTCACTTTCTTGAAACCGGCAGTAATATTTATTTCAACGCCGATTGAGGCAAATTTCTGTATGAAGGCGATTCTGGCCACATTGCTGTGGTAGAGTAAGATAAAAAATATGACCATTCACTCTACCAAACTTGTTTTGATCTTGAAGGTCACATGAAGCAACAATATTTTAAAAATTATTTCTATGGGGAAAGCGAAAATCGGTTTTAAATCTATTTTTTTATAATTTCTTGTCCCAACTGTGTGCTTCATATGTTTCCAGGCAAATAATGAAATCTATTGCACCCCAAAATTGAAGTTTCAAGTATTGAAGAGTTCGATCAGCAATACATTTTTAAGTGAATCGGTTTAATGCCAAAGAGAATAACTCAACATTTCTGCGATATGGCAATTTTGATGCAATTCGATTAATTTTTGAGAGACCTATCGAGCTGCAACAAAATTGTCATAGGGGAAAGTTTTGACTTATTCCTTTTTGGTAATGAACCCATTCAAATAATGTGTGTTAATTTCAAAAAAAATTTAAACTTCTCAATTTTTCCTCACATCCGTTGAGTATGCATCGCTGGCACACAACATTCGATCACTTTTCGTCTTTCGAAATATTCTTGCTTTCAGCCACTTTTCTGGCATGTAGAGAAATTTTCTATTTTCAGCTAAACTTAACACACAACAGCATATACATACATACATACTATTTCTTTGCTGTTGCTGGCTTGCGTTTACTTAAGCGAGGAAGAATTTATTTTTTTTTTAAGAAACTATGTTGTTTTCTTAATTTTTTTTGTTGGTTGATTCCCACTATTACTTGCGTGCGCTAGGTGAGTATGAGTTAAGGTATACATGTATGTATGTGTGAATGATATATTTAAATATGTATATAGTATAAGCATAAAAAAAAACACAACAATTTGTGCATGTATGTACATATATGTGCAGAGACGTGCATATCCTTCACCGTAAGGTAACCGATCCGCAAATTAGTATATATAGGTATCACGCAGCTATATATGTATAGGTATTTGCGTATATCTGCATACCGAACAAGGCTTATGTAATTGCTATAATATACGCCCGTCGTTGTACGCGGATCTCATGCACTTAATTTATTAATTAATTATACACTAATTACATATATTTTTTTTAGTTTAAATTCAATTTCATTGCTTTTTTAATAAGTCATTCGTTCTTTGATTTTTAATTATCAGTCCTCACTTCACGTAATCAAAAACGCATTGCAGCTGGGCGTTTCTGTGCATTGTTGCATTTATTAGATTTTTCATTCAATATAAAAGTCGTTTTTTTCCATTTGATATTCGTTGAAAGTTTTTTATTTGCATGGTCACACCAACAAAACAAAAAAAAAAAACAAATATGCAGATTCCAGCATTTGCACCTGTCACACTCCTTTTCAGCATTAGCTGGCAGCACTCACCTTAAAGGAATTAAAAAATAGGTGTGCGAGCAACCTCACAGATCGGAGAACACTAGTCGAACGGGAAAAGACTGAATGGTCCGGCGATCCACGGCAGACTATATTTTGGTCGAAATTCGCTCAACAGATCATTTTTCTTGCGTAGGCTTGGCCAACAATAGCCAACAGCGTCGCAACGATCGCTTAGAAAAAAAAAATTCAGAAATATTCGTGAATGAGCCGAATGCAGCTTTTTATGTTGAGGCGAAAACGAATTTTCTTCGCCGTCTCTCACAATCCACATTTTCATGTGCAATTGTTGGTACGTAGTATGTAAGCAGACTCACTCACCTATACTTTGGTGGTGTGGAAATCTTTGGAAAATGGGAAAATGCCGAAAGGCAGACAATGCAATAATGCGTGTGCCGAACTTTAACGAATGAATTTATGAGCAATGCTAGATTTGCTACGATCGCTCTTATGTTGTGCAGACTTTCGTTAATTTCCTTGGCAATTGGTCTCTTGTATCTTAGCGACATGGACATACAAACATATCGTCGACGTTTTTGCAAAACCGCCCATCGCCCTCAAATTTTACAGCAGAGCGAAAATTCTTTGAAGGCATTGCCTTGATAGGCGGTATTTTCTCTAGCTATTATTTTACAAATCTGTAGTTTTAATAACGATTTAATGATTTTTATGCATAAATATCGATGCCTGAAGTTCAGGGTTACCAAACCTCATTTTTGCCACAACGGCGATTTAGGCGGTTTTGCAACTGGTCGATGGGCGGTTTTGCAAAAACATCAACGATATGTATACATATTTCCTACGGATGAAATGTGCGAAGCGCTGAACGTCAAGCAAATGGATACACACAGTATGTGTGTTTGATATCTGGGCACGGCAGCTAAAAATAGCTAATACACCGAAATAGATGTCGAACATTTTGTTTTGTGTGAATTCATTTAAATGAAGAAAGCGCACAAGAAAAATTGAAAATTCAGATTCTGCAATGAATGATGCCTAATATACTCGTACATATGAATGTTTTTATAAATTTACATACATACCTATGACAATTACCAAGTATAAGTAAATAAAATATACGAGTGAGTATAGAAGACATACTCGTACAAGAGGAAGGAAAAAAAACGTAGAAGAAGAAATTGCGAAAAACTATATTTATTGGAAAAAAGACAATAAAATTTTGGTGGTCAGACAATGCAACTGAATGCATGTAAATAAAACATTATGTTCACACATTCTTATTACCTACGTACATATGTACATATGTACTATGTACATACATATGTATATAAGTATCTATGTACATTAGGACGGCTCACAAAAGGATTACTGCTTCACTAAGGTTATTATAAATTAGTTAATATTATTAAACTCACAACAATTTTTATTTAGCTTCAATTCAGTGTCTTTCGGAAGCTGAACCACCCTTATGTAATAAGAGAAAGTTTACTTAAAGGATCTGCATATGACAATTTTTTAAAATTATTATTGAATACCCCTTACAGATAGTCGAACTCTTAATTTAAAAAAATTATTTTTCAATATTTTTGAAAAAATTTGAAGTTTAAAAAATTTACAACAAAGTTTTTAAAATTTGAATTAAATTTAAAATTTAATTGCTCCAACATGGTTAAATAATGAAATTTCTATGCAATTTTCAAGAAAAGTCGAACAACTTCGCCTTCTTTTGATTGAATTTGATTTACATACTTGAACATTTTTTAGTACAGAAAATGGCATTTTAAAAATGTTAACACATAAATCGCATATATTCTTTAAAAGTGTATTATCAAAATTTCCCGTTTGTCAGAAAACGAAATATATTAAATACTTTTGAACGCATTATACAATATGGGCGAGAATTCCCGAAACTGATAATTTTTTCCGTGATATCGAGATAACCATATTTATTTTTTGGAATAGATAACCCTCAATATCCTGTAAACGTCATTTTCGAAATATTTTTAGTAAGGTTTTCTTTGAATATCAATTAAGAATAAAAATACTTAGTCAAGGAAATATGGTTCACTATGCTCTAAAAACAATCTGTGTGAAATATGACAATTTTTGGCTTGCCCAATTCCATAAAAGTTCAATATGGCTAAAAAATAAAAATTAATAAGAAAATTAAGTAATTCATTTTTTTACTAAAATTGCAATAATCTTCTAAAGTATTAGTCCTACATAATTAGGTATATGGACCTTTTTTGTAGAGAATCGACGTTAGCTAAGAAAATTTTTTTTTAGTACTTGAACTTTGATGGACTTGGGCCTAGGATATTGACCAAAAACTTTCACATTTCACACAGATATTTTTTAGAGCATAATGAAACATATTTTTGCTATTACCAATCAAAATTCTAAAAAAGCGGATTTTCGGCCCACGCTAATGTACATAAGAGTGGTCTTAAAATATTAACATCTTAATTTTTGTATGCAGCCCTCCTTCATTTTGTTCTACGTAACAAATTTTTAGGGGTCCGGTCAGGGTTTGAAAAAATTTAAATTTTTAAATCCCAAAAATACGTCAAAATTTTTACTTCAAATGTGATAAACTTTACATATCATTGAAACTTATTCATATAAATTCATAAACTCGCTTAGTAAAAATTTTTCGAATTTTTGTTATTAAAAAAACAAATTTTTTAAGCCCTGGTAATTTTTTTGTAAATTTTGAAATTTTCGTGGCTGCCGTAATTTTGTCCGTAGAACAAAATAAAGGCGCCTATTATGTTGAAAATTTAAGGACCACCCTAATGAGTTATTTGGAAAAAAATTGGGATTCTCACTTATGTCCGTGAATTTTTTATTTTTTCTTTAATCAACTGTCGCAAATAGATAATTTGGGTAGCTAAAAGGCGTTCCATAAGGCCTTCCGGAGAGTTAAGAGGCCTGCCACTCTGTATTCCTTTCTCCGTTCTTTTGTGGACGGAGTAGCTTTCGCTACCCATAAAGTGCTTCCAGGGCTTTTGCAAGGCGTACTTCAGAAGGCATTTTAGAGAAGTTCTTCTAAAACTGCTGCTTTAATTCATTAAAAATTATACTTTTTCAAGGTTCATATCAAATATGTTTATGGCATCTTAAAACGCAAATTGAAGTTCATTTGTAATGCTAAATAATAGAAATTGTAATACTAGAAGGCATGTAGCGAAGCAACTTTTTAGCCCTTCTTGGGCAAAAGGAATGGCTTAACTTAAGAAGGCTTCCCTAAATTTTATTTTGGAAAGCATTTATTTACTATGGGCTACTTGTGTGTATATGTTTTTACGAGAAACTGCAAGTCAGTTGAATAGTTTGCTTGAGGGCATTTTATACAATTAAAGCAACAAAGTTGAAGCGGTAGAATTTAATGCCGCAATTTCGACGACCACCATATCTCCTCGATAGACTTCTTTTCTAGATTTCAGCCAGGATCGAACCCGCTTCATTTATGCCCGCTGAGCTAAGCATACCCCGTTAACTCTCGCTTCTTATCCATTTCCTTATACAACATATTTCAATAAATAGCAGCTAAAAAAAACTCGTGGTGGACATAACACTGTTGAAATAAATAATATGCGTGTATTTAAAACAATCGCCACCCTAAAGTGCATACTTATGTACATACATACATACATATGCCTTTATATTATAAATATTATATACATACATATGGGTTTGGGCATTCGTATAATTTTTTTTTGTATTTCACACCGTCATAAAAATATTTCACTCTCATTAGCAATGGAAAGGCACAATTCTTTGACTGCAAATATTATTTAGTCAACGCTTAATTGCTGTTGCCAGTCAATTTGAAGAATTTTTTGGCATTTTTACCATATTGCGAATAAGTAGCTATGTATGTACATATGTAGCTGCTTTAAGGTAGGACAATTTTCCGTACCGCAGATAATATGCTAAAGCGATGGGTGGATCGGGTGCAGAAGTACATTTTGCAAAGCTTTTGGTATCAAAGTTGTATGTGTTTTCCAAAAGAAAGGAGCTTCTTTACTTTTAATAAATGAAGAAAAAAAAATATTTGGTTTCTTTTAAAGATGTATGTAAGATCAGTTAGATTAGATCTCAACCTACAACACTACTTTCGGCGGACAAAAAAAAGCAAAAAAGTTAAAGATATCTTTATTCTCAGACTTTTTCTTCATTATTCCGGAAAAATAATTCACCGATTCGTACCACAGGAGTTATAAAAGGGATAACGACACAAAGTCTTCATATTGCACAGCCGTTTCTCCCGGCGATAAAAGCGGCATGGAGTCGGATGCTCTTGAATTATTTTTAAAGTCTCTAGAACAGTTATCAGTTTTTTCAAATTAATTCAATTTATAATTTTATAATAACACAGATCATTCTTAAGCAAAAACCATTTAAATTCAAATTAGAAACTTTGTACAAAATAAAAAAAATAAACAAAGTTTCATTAAAATTTCAAGCTTTTTGATTGTTCAAATTGAAACTTTATTTACATACATACATATATGAATTGATTTTCATATAAATAGGCTACATTTTTTTACTACAATTTTGTTTGTGTTATACATATAAATCACAGTTTCAAATTTTATACAAAAATTCAATAAATTTTCATCAAAATTTAAACTTTTTAATCTGAATATTTTTGGGTATGCAGTTTTATAGCCCACACAACTTAAGTCAGTCATGAAGCGCAAGTTTTAACCGGCTAACAAATCGCGTTTTGAGAATTTTTTTGAGACTGCTTTTGCGGTTTTTTGCTTTTTGATGAGAAGCTGTTTTTTATGGCAGAAATACACTCGGAGGTTTGCTATTGCCAGCCGTAAGGCGACCGCTATTAGAAAATACTTTTTTTTATTTTTGTTATTGGGTTGAGCCGGGCTTGAACCCAGGCCCTGCGGAATGGTAGCGCGCACTGCTAACTACTAGATATTAAAAAAAATACCATAATTATTGGAAGGAGAAAAAAGTTAAATTTCGCAGGCGTGTGTTACGGATAATGAACTGACGGAATATAGGGCATAAAGTAACAACAAAGAAATTCTGAAAAGACAGAGTTTTTTATTGTTAAAAACAAGTCTACTTTTTAAGTCTTTGCACTTCCAAGAACCACTATAGTTTCCTCCATAAGAAAA